TAAATTCCTTTAGTGGTTTGAGAAGAAATTCCATAAAATACTTTAGATTATAGTTAGCATGCTGTCTCCATTTTTTGTCAAATATTGCATAGTAACTACAACCCTCAAAAGAAAGATCTATAATGTTTCGACACGAAGTAGCAATCGCACAACCCCCCGCATCGGATATTCCCTCACAAGATATCAAGCTCAAATATTGGAATCGTTTACGAAAAAGGTATTTCGCCGGTTTTTAGAGTCATAAAGTGTCAATCTTTATTATCGGCTCTATATAAACTTATCAGCTCCATAATTTTTTATGTTGTTATCTCGTTTCCTATCCTAAAAATTCAAGTCTCCTATATGTGTCGGAAACTTAACAAGATATGTAAAGCAATTTACGTAAGGTATTGGCACAGAATTTAGTTTAAGCAAGTCTGTTGAAGGCAAATGGGTAAGATTCTATATCGATTATGCCTTTTAAAGACATCGTATTTAATTTGTAGCATGCTACAGCGACATCAGGAATTCCAGGTTGATGACGGACCCTTTAGCAAATAAAAAGGGATTAGATGAAGTTACAGAATCCTAAAACATATGAAAAAAATAGTTTTTTATACCAATTAGGGAGAGCAAATTCCCAATTCGAAACCTGCATACTATCTCTAAACATGAAAATGGTGTTGCCATAATTGATCGCTCCTGCCATTTGCAAGGAGTTTATTACAGCGTCTTGGTTTTGCCCGACGACTCCATTTCGGTTGTTAGGAGAGGCAGGATCGTTGTTAAAACCAGCGGGATTCCACTGGATTACAAGAGCGGGCATATCAATATGTTTACTTGTTGCTTTGAGAATGAGAGAGGCAATGGCAGGATTCTGAAATGTTGTAGGAAGGGTTGAGGGAGCTAAAGATATGTAAATAACTTTATGTACAAAAAAATAATCAAATGCCAATTTGTACTTACTTTGATCACACTTCTTTGCGAGTACCTTGATGTTGCGCTGTTGCACTCTGTCACGTATAGACTTGAAAAGCGTTTCCATAGCGAAGAAAGATTTTTATAGTGATATACTCAGTAATGTCGGTGATTTTATTATTGTTCAACCAAATCACGTGAACATTTTAATATATTACGTTTGCAGGCAGTCACATGACTTTTTCATCAGCCTTAATTCTCGTTGGATGAACTGTCCGTGGCGTAAATTCGTGCTTATCATCACCAAAGACGTCCACAAAGATTTGTGATTTGTTTCTTACAATTGAAGTAATTCTCTTTGTATAATAACTTTGTCTTGTATTTGTTGTATAGCAAAATGTTCGTTAAAGTGGACTTTATTTCTATAACAAACGCATGAGCCTTTACGTCGGTCGCTATGTATGCAACTATAAAAATAATTCGTGTAACTTCTAAATCATGTTCCAGAAATAGTAGTAACGCCAACTGACAATAAAGGAATGGATCAAATCTATTGGACATATTCGCCATTAATTTCCTTCCATTGACAACCGAGATCGGCCACGCATCACTTTCTTGAATTTTTTGAATTGTACTAGATTTCTTTTATCAAACTCCGCACAACGCCAGATAATTGGCCCTGTGCATGAATACCAAAATTTATTGACGAATAAGGTTGGATACAATGATCTATCTTCAGCCAAATTCAAGAAAATTTCCGTTAATATTTCAGGTAAGTTTAGCGAATGTAATTTAACCACAAAGTGACTGCTTCCAGCAATATATGACATTGGTACTTATATTTACGAATTTATTCTATATTTGATAAATAACCTTTTTCGATCAATTTACTCTTTATATATATCAATAAATCACAGTTATATGAAATTTCAATAAGATCTATACCTTCTCGAGCACATATATCCCGCTTTTTTTTGGTTGAAAGGTAATGCTGAATTATTATTTAAATATCCTTAATTATTATTATTAAAAAATGCCAAGGAAATTAACTTTAGAAGATGCAATCAAATCAGCAGAAAAGCGTGGTGGACAATGCCTCTCTACTCAATATACCAATAATAAAGATCCATTATTATGGCGTTGCTCGAATAATCATGAATGGTATGCTCCTCTTTACCGTCTTAAAAATCATAATAAATAGTGTCCTACTTGTGGTTATGATAAAAGAAAATTGGGTATTTTTATTGCAAAAAAAATGGCATTGAAAAATGTATTTCAGAATCTTATACCAATAATCGGACCCCATTGATATGGGAATGTGAAAAATTACATCGATGGGAGACAACACTTAGTAAAGTGAAAAACGGCGGTCACTGGTGTCCATATTGTAATGTAGGTCGGAACACTCTTGAAGATATGCAAGCTTATGCCCAAGAAAAGGGTGGGCATTGTCTTTCGGATTGCTATTATAATGTAACTACAAAGCTTCTCTGGATTTGTAAAAATCTCCATACGTGGGAGACTACCCCTAGTAGTATTAAACAAGGAAGTTGGTGCCCAATGTGTAGATTTAAACGTGGAAATTTATGTCGTAAAATTGTGTCGAAATATCTTGGACCATCATCGAAAAATCGCCAACCTGATTTTTTAAAAAACCCAAAACATCCAACAGGACTACAACTTGATATTCCTTATTATCACTACGGCTTTGCTATCGAAGTTCAAGGACCACAGCATGAAAAATATATTGAATTCTTCCATAACAGAGATCCCAAAAATTTTATTAAACAGCAGGAACGGGATCAACTCAAGGAAGAACTTTGTGAAGAAAATTGGATAGTACTAAGATATGTTTGGTATTATGAAGACCCATTTGAGAAAATTCCAGCTATCCTTCGAGAACTGGGTCTTATTCCTTAGCCGTAATTATTCAATATCTATACTTTCCAAATACCCTTTCTTAAGCAATCCACTTTTAATATAGGGAAATAAATCTAAGTCGAATGGTACTAATATGAGATCTATACCTTCTCTTTTACACATATTCTGCTTTTTTTGATCTCTCCATCTCTGCTCATCCAAATCAATCCTCCCTCGTCTATGGAACATCGGATTCTCAGAATAATGTTGGGATCCTTGGTATTCAAAAGCTAATTTTAATTCCTTGTTAAAACCATCCAAACGCAAGCCTTCCAAAAATTTATCCGAACATGGTAGGAATTTTTTACCCAGCAAATCTTCAAATATATATCGACAACTGCGCTCTTTAGTGTGATGGCAAATTGGGCACCATTCGAATTTTCGCTTCTGGGTCTTATAAGGTGCATACCACTGATGCTTTCCGTTTTTACATGACCAAAGATATACATCGAAATCATTTATTTGACCAGTTTTACCAAGACATTTTCCGTCGCGTTCTTTGCATACTCTTCAGCTTTAGCCACTTCATTAATAATACGAACAAAATTAACAGACTTTGAATGAGTATTTTCTTCCAATATACTCTGGGGCGGATACTGAAGCGTATCAATATTCACGTGCATGAGCTCTTCCCTTACAAATCCACGTGACGGGGCATATTCTCCGTCTAAATAATATAAAACTGGTTCGTTTTTCGTTACCACGATTTTGCG